ATTTCATTCACATGTGATTCATAAACACATAGTCCTTTCTGGATTACAATCCACCATCAAAATGATACATTTAATTATTATAGCTGCTGTGAGAAAAGGCTATAAATGATCCGCCACCTGCAGGATCCTCACATGCAATAGCCTAGTAGCCGGGACAACTTCTTTATGTTTACAGACGTGACTTAATGACGCGGCAGCATGCTCGAATTTACCGCGAAAACCTACCCGTACCACTCATTAGAAAACATTATTATACAGTAAGCTAACCCTTGTGAATCAGGCTAAAGTAAGGCGATGGTTTTGAACACTGGCTGGTTATGTACTTGATCAAATATTGATTTCGGATCATTTTTAACCAAAAAAAGTTACGGACTGTGGCTTTAATTATATATTATTACACTATATATTTATTTAATCAATTTCTCAGCTGATTCATTCGAAAACACTGGAATGAAACAAGTGACTGTATTCATGAGTGAGTCATTGATTCGATCACTTAACGATTCATTCAAAACTGGGATGCATTTAGTAACAAAATGAGACGTGGTTGATGATTATGCTGTTGAAAATTACATGGTTAACTTAGTTAGGAACTATTTTCATTTTTGTGTGAATTTTCCTTTAAGGAAATCATTCACTAAAGGAAGAGCCAGTGCTGCAGACAAGCTCTGTTCCAAGACACCCCTCGACTTTAGAGCCCGAGGACTCTTCAGTCCAAACTAAAACCCCATGAGGAGGAACAATGGGAGCCACAGATCCCCTGATGTAGCCAGACAGCTGAAGCCTTGTTACATGCAGTAAAAACCTCTTTATTGCACTGCTGTGAGCATGTGTACTGAAGGAACCCTCTGCTCATCTAGCATGGATCATTCATATGATTTCTCCTATGCAGAGAAATCCAATGGATTTTTCCATTTACCAATTTTACCCCTAGTGCCAGAGTTCTTTGACAAGATCCGTTTCTCTAACGTCTCCAGGCAACCCCGAGCTTGTCATGTCTGATGACATTTTATATCCCCTTAAGAGAATGTCTGTTACATAACTGAATAATACACTCTCTCTCTTATAAGTTAAGACATTACTGTAAGAACACAATAAAATATTCTTATTTAGTGTTATTTCAGGACACTTCAATATTATAACAATACAGTGCCTTGCGAAAGTATTCATTATTTTTTCACGTTTTGTTATGTTGCTGCCTTATGTTAAACTGCTTTAAATTACTTTTTTCCACATCAATCTACAATCCATACACCATACTGACAAAGCAAAAACAGAATTTCGTAAATTTATTAAAAATAAAAAAACTGAAATAAGTACATTGCATAAGAATACTTTTGCAAGGCACTGTATATAGTAAAGATAGCACAATAAATAGTCTTATAAGCTTTTAAGAATGAGAAACATTTCAGAAACATTCCATATGTTGCTGACATAAAAGGCTGTGCATTCAATATATATATTTAACTATACATACATATAGTTATATATGTAACTATATATACATATGTATATATATATATATAGTTAAATACTTTTATTCAGCAAGGATGCATTAAATGGATAAAAATACACAGTAAAGCCATTTTGTCACCACAGGAATACATTTCAATTGAAAATGTATTAAAATAGAAAGCGGTTATTCTAAACTGTAATATTTCACAATTGAGCTGTTTTTACTGTATTTTTAATACATACATGCAGCAGTGGTGAGCATGAGACTTTGTCAAAAACAAACAAACAAAAAATCGTACCAATCCCAAACTTTTGTAATATAGGGAGACTCTGGATTAGACAATTTGGGAACGGAGGGATTTATTCACAGACATTATCAGGAGTAAATGTTACAGAAAGTCAGGTCAGTTTGTTTTACGTTTTATTTTATGGTGGTTGGAACACAAGACACAAGTAATAAAGTTAGTAATGGTAACATCATGCCTCTCATTCTGTGCACTGCCCATCAGATCTAGTTCAATCAAAACAGTAGTTTACAAATGCCAGACTGAGAATCCTTTTAAGACAAAAATAAGATAATGAAAATAGTATTTGTACAGTAAATAGTATTTTTGTAGAGTCCAGAACCACTATTATCGAGGCCTTCTGGAAATTCTCATAAGCATTATTAATATAATTATTAACATTTATGAATTAATTTACATGATGGGAATGAGGCTAATATACTGGCTAAGGTGAGAGCACAGAACAATATGGACATGCACTTTTGTCACCCATGAACGGTGAATGATTTTAAGGCATTTCTCAGTTTCCATTCACGCAGCAGATTTCCATGGCGGTTCTCACCATGAGCCTCGTCCCTTGAGAGCAAAGCTACTGGAGGAGGATGTCAAAAAATAACTCCCATTAATACAAAAGAGATCAAAAATCCAGTCCGCTGGAAAAGTGAAGGTGAGGGCGCTATACTAAAAAGGGCGGATGGTCCATACAGCTCGTGCAGAAGCGAAGGGCTCCCGGTCTCGGTCTTGACGGCCAATCAAACCCTAGACACATAAATTATCGATTTTCCCCGGATCCCGCGTGTAGACAAGTCAGACTCGCTTCCAGTGTATAATACTAAAACAAAACCTCAGTAACAAATTTACGCTTGAAAAATCACAGGGTGACAATTACGATCTTGCATGATCCAGGGTTTGCAAAAAAAAAAAAAAAAGATCTGATGATACTTTACCCTGAACAGGCATATTTGTAGTGGAATATTGCAAAGCATCTGGTATCAAACTCATATGTCTTACACCGAAACAGCACCACAGCATTGCATTTGTCTTGGAACAGGTTACAAAAACCATTTTGACTTGACAAACCCATGCATTAATATTTTCACTGGTTACCGTTGAACATAAACAGCTGCTATGGGGGCCACAGTCATAGGATGCAAGGGGTCTACACATACATCATCCCTTTTTTATAGCAAGTGCTGGCAGCATTTTAAAGCGACATTTTCATTTGATATACGATAGAAAAAATGCAGTGAATACATGATTTTTGTTCGATGACGGAACATGCCAAGAATGTCAATGCTGTTTTTGTCCACCTGATGTGTTTTGAGTCTCTCATCTCTTCCTGTGTTACAGCGCCTCCCAATGTTGAGTTGTTGCAACAACCATTTTTTCCAACACACACACACACACACACACACACAC